GGAAAGATGGATTTGGAGGAGGAAAAGCCAATAAAATAGCCCTCTCTGACCATGTCTCTGACCCCCTGCTCAGTAGCTACACTGATCCAGACAGAGGAGGCAAGTGATTGAGAAAGGAAGGATAAAGTGGGGTTAGTGAGCATTTCTAGTGTGTGCACATCATCAAAGCCCCTGCTTTCTTGATTGATCATACAGCAGGATATCAGGTGAAAAGGCACAAAGAGGGCTCAAGCTTCTGTTTCTTTTCTGCAAGCTTCAACTGGCAACTGGAGGTGGATGCATCAGGTGCTGAGAAGAATGATAGGTTCACTGAAGGGTCCCTGTGGGTCTGGAACTGATGAAAACAGGACTTGCATCTTAAAGAGGCTGGTAAATCCCAAGGGGGCATAACATACCCCTAGAGTCCTTTAGTGAATGGAGAATTTTCTGTTTTAGAACTAAACATTTGTGTGGCCTCCTTCAGAAGCCTAAGACCCAACAGTCACAATAGTTTTCTCATAATTACAGCAATGGCCACAAGGCACAATGCCACCTCTGCTGCACTGAGGGCACCTTGCAGAGGCTTTTAGGACACGAGTCTCCCTTCCAGCATGACTGAAAGGAAGGAGTCTCTGGAGAAGAGGAAAGCATGTCAGCAAAACTGGCCACGCAGCTGTGTAATCTGTAGTACTATCTGGCAAATAGGGCTTAATATGATGCTGAACTGTAAGCTGGACAAGGAGTACAGCTTTTTGTTGAAGAGGTCCAGACACCTGGGATCCTTTTCTCTTGTCCCTAACCTAATGTGTCCCAACTGTTGGCCACCACAAGCAATGGAGGAGCTGGGTGTGAGTGGAGAAACTCCATGCTATTCAGCACGATTCTGTATTTCTTGTTAACAAGTTTGTCAATTGACAGAGCTGACAGGAGAATTCCATATTATGCAGGCTCATTGTAAAATAGTCTCATTAACTGGAAGTGGCACTATCAAAGGACTAGATTGATGTGAAGTGCCCGTCAGTGAATGCAAAAGTGCTTCCACAAATTTATTTCGGGGGGAATAGGTTGACAGCCATGCCATACACCTGGGTAGGTCTGGGAAACTTCCAGGTTCCTCCACCAAAGGGATGGATGAAGGCGGAGCACCAGAGAAAGTAGATAACTTACCTGCTCTCATGGGGACAAGCAGCCCCACATGACAGGGCTCCCTGTGGAATGGGAGGCAAAAGGGATCAGCATGTCCCTGGCGGAAAACATGACCTCAAACAATGGGCAAGGCTGGCTCAGTTCCCTAGACAGATGCAGATGCAAAGACCACAAGGTTCATTGAGGACATGCAGGCCAATTCTAGAACAGAGTAGGCGGATGCTAGTATCAAGCAGGCAGCACAGAACAGGAGGAAAAGAAAGACAACAAGAAAAAATAGTTGTGGTAAGGATCTGTCTGCTGACAGGCTATGAATGCTAGTGAACCAACAGTTACTCTGACTCAGCCAGGCAGTGAAGGGGAAAGGGCCAAGGAATAGCCTGTACAGGTTAAAAAAAAAGGTCTCTAGTCAAAAGGCTCAGGGGCTGAGCCCACCCCACATGTGAGAAAGTGTGTGGATAAATGCTCAAAGGAGAATTAGGCATGGTGAACAGGAAGAGGGTCCTGGTGATGCGAAGGATGAATGGAGTACAGGGGACAAAAAGGGAGGGATTCCAGGGCATCTACAATGTCCTGTAGCTCTTGCAGCCTGGTTCCTGTTGGGTGACTGGGTCAAACATGACATGAAGGCAAAAGACCAGCCTTCATTTCCAGAACAGCATTAATGCACAAGCTTCTGTCACAACCCAAGGGTGTGATTTTTGTTTTGTGTGTGCTTTGGCACCACTGAATTATTTTCCCGCCAATATGTAGCTTTCTTTGCAGTGTGCATTTCTTCTTTGCAGCACAGAAATGCACTTTGCAAAGAGTTCCCGCCATTTGTATTATAATTCGAGCCCCATTATTGGCTTGCGTTAAATTATTCACACGTGGCGGCTAGTGATTGGCTTGCTAGCCGTATAAAAAGCTTGAGTGGTTTCCGCCCAAGTTGGAGGACTCCACGAACACCAGGAGGAGGAGACTTCACGTCTCATGAAGATCTCTAAGCGCTGCGGAGCCTATTGGACCCAGCGTGAATATCAAGAAGGCAACAGGGGTCTGATCAGCCTCTAGCCTCTCCCCATCGCCAAGCGCAATCCTCGACGTATCCCTCTTCCCTGCGCGCACAAGTTCCACGGAGCCTAGCAAACTTCGTGTGAGTCTATTCAGAGCTATTTTCTTCGAGTACTTTCTTCGGTTGGCACGACGGGCTTGCGGTTTAGAGCCTCCAACTGAATGGGCTAGACGAATGTTCACGGGAAGGAACTCTAGTCTGCCTCTCTTCTTTTCTATCTGTAACTGCAACTCAAGCAAGTTTTCCTGCCTGCACCGCGACCATCTTCGGTGTAAGTAAACAATCTTAAACAACCATTAAGCGTCCATGCCTAATTCTAGCGTGTCGCCTGTTTTCTCTGACCCAGCATGCCCGGGCTGCTGGCCACAGCCCGGGCGGCACGAAAAAGGGCCCGGATCACTCCCGGCCCGCACAGCTTCCACTGCTAATCCCAGATTTAAATCCTAATGCGTGCAGCACAAAAAGCTCTCTGGGAACACAAAGTTGTTAGACTCCCCACCCAACCCTGCTTTCAATAGGATCAGCTGCTTTTTCTGCTAGCTAACAAGAGCACAGGAAGGGCACTGGTTTCCCTGCTGGGTAAGTGAAGACCTTTGCATCAGAGAAGCTGCTTTAAGATGTCTTACTCCCTTGTTCCTACTTGGAAAGACAGGACTGGTCACAAAATTGGCCTGCACAAAATTCACACTGGGGAAGGGTAAGGCATGGCACATCCAGAATGGAAGGTGACAGGAGCACATACGGGGGGGGGGGGTCGGGTGCTCATTTTTTTGCCGGGGGTGCGCACGCACTCATTCACATTCATGTGCTCACAGGCACACAAGAGATCAATCCTGTTATCTTCCCCCCCTTCCTGCCTGTAAGCTAGATATTTTGTGCTCTCTCTCACACACACACACGCACACACACAGAAAGGGAAGGCAACAGATCTCACACACAAATACACACAGAAAACAGGGCGGGCCACAACAGAATCTTAAATCTCTTGTATGCACATGGGTGTTCAACATATAGGCAAAAGAAAAGTCTACTATGCCAGGCTCTTTTCTCCCTCACATGCATTGTTCTCCCCATTGTCTCTTCCCACTGTAGGGTGACTGGGAGGAAGAGCTCCTCAAACTGTTTAGGATAGGGGCCAGAAACCTTTATAAACTGTGAGCTGGGACAACCTGGCTTCAACCTGGCACAGGCTGGGTGGCTTCAGTGGTGTGTCAGCAGCAGGGAGGTTTGCCTAGATCCACACCAGGGCCAGGCACTGCCGTTGCTTTTTCCTCCCCCTGGCTACAGCAAAAGGCACAGCGGAAAGCTGCCCAGCCCCAGCACAGTTCCCTGTTGGCTAGAAGCTTCGCTCTCACTGCAACTGGGAGAAGGAAAGGGGCAGAAGCAGCAGCACTGTAGGCACAGCTTCCAGCTGGCCCACCCTAGCACTGCTCCTTGCTGCCTGGCCTCAGCACAGGTGCAAGCTGAGACAAATTCTTCCAGTGCTGCAGGCCATATGTTGCTGATCTCTGGAACAGCAGGGTTGAGCAAAGTACATCAAGGCTTGGGGCAAGCAGTGCCCGAGTTGTACTCCACAATTTAGCTGCATTCAATGGAATGATATGGGCAGGCCACACTACACAAGCATTACCAAACTTGAAGAAAGAAGCAGGGCCTATGAACATCTGCCAGAGCTGGATCTGACCTCCCCTGTGCCTCCAACCCCTGCGACAGGGCTATATATGACATCTGGAGTTTGATCGCCTTAACCTGATCATTTGTGACCACTGGAGACCCAGGTGCTTCCCTAACAGGCAATGCTATCTCAGCTACATCATCGTCCCATAGAACGCCATGCTGTACAGCATGAGAAAGGGCCTTCTTCATTTTCTGCACTAGCTTTTCTACAGGGCCGTGCCACTGGGAGGACTGTGGCATTTAGGGATGAATGAACTGCTTCTCGTGTTATGTCCCACTTTCCTTGCTCTGGGTGCTCATAATGCTCAGCACATGACAATCTGCAATGTTTCAAAGCTGGGCATAGCCCACGGGGGTGGTTAGGCTGCCTTTCTCTCTCAGCTGTTAGTGTCACATTCTGACAGAAAGGTTTGTTTATACTCCAGGGTCTGGCACTTGTGGAAAAGTCATACTTAAGGCAGTTTCAAATTGCTGGGCAAGGTTGGGGCTAAGAAGAGAGATGACACTGGTTTCTTGTAAAGGAGCTCTTGAGAACCCTGACCCCATCTGGCGGTGACTGTTTTGCCCCCTTTGCTGCAGCAGATGACAGAGTGCAGCAAGGAAAGCACAGCAAAAACAGCATAATGCAAGGATGAGCGTACAGCGGGGCTAGAGGTTTCTAGGTAGGGAATCTACAGGGTGGATGTCCTGTTGCTGGAGGAGCTCTATGTACACAAAGAAGAGTAACAAATGCAAGGACAGAGAGAGCCTTTGGTTCTGATCCAGTCCCTAGGGCCCACTATCTCCACCACTCCAGCAACAGCTTCATTTGAAAGTATCCCACACTCCATGAGATGGTAGGAAATGCTCAGGCAACAGGAGGCAGCAATAGAGGAAAGATTATCTTGGGATGGGGGCCGGGCAATAAATTCAGCCTGACAGCAAGCAGGCACTGGGCAAGTGTCACTGATTCATGGGAGAGCTGTTCAAACTAATGCCAGGGCTGGAACTGCTTCAGGGGAATTTGAAAGATGCTAGAAGAGAAAAGCTTGGAATGAGGGCTACACAAAGTGAAATACATGCAAGCCAACTTTTCCTACCCAGCAAAAAAATACCAGTGGTACTTCCCTGCAATTAGGGCAGTGCCATAAAATCAGCAGCTTACCTGGATCTTCACAGCAATAAGCACAGAGCTCAGCTCCTTGTCCAGTTCCCTAAGTACTGTGAGCTTCTTCAGACGCAGACTGCAGAGCCTGTAAGACAGAGAGAATGGGACACATTCAGGCACCACCATCCCAGGGGCCCTGCCGCATGGTACGAAGTGATCAGAAGGCAGGCTGAATGTGCAGCAGCTGCCTCCCTGCTCTCTCTCCCAGGCACAAGCTCCACAGAGAAACACCAGGATTCATGCCCCACAGAGAAAGCGGATCAGAAAAGAGGAAAGAAGGAAAATTAACAGAGCTAAAGCAGGATTAAGGGATTACTCTGCCGCAGGAAGTCACAGACCATGTGATGGAGAGACCCCTCCCAAGTCGTACTGCCAGATATACATAAAGTTCTCTCACCACTGGTGTTATTTATAACTTAAAGCACTTAAACCCACTCTCATCCTGAACTAAGGGCAGATATACCCATTCAGCCCTTAGCACCCAGGCTCACAGTTTTTCCAGCAGGCAGGATATTTCTAGAGAGACAGGGAAGCAAAGTTATCACTGTACAAGGCACTGGAAAGGCTCCATTAAGACAACTCTGCAACAGCTCTGGTCACCTGTCTTAAAAAAAGATGAATTTAAAATGGAACAGGTACAAAAATGGGCTACTAGGATGATTAGTGAGAATAGAAAACCTCTCTCATAGGTGGAAATTTACCTTGTTTACCTCTCATAGGTGGAGTTTACCTTGTTTAGCTTAGACAAACAAAGGTTGAGAGAATATATATAAATATATTTGCGGGTAAATATCAGGAAGGCAGAAGAGCTATTTAAGTTAAAGAATATTATTAGCACAAATCCAATGGCCACAAACCACATTTAGAATGGGAAATTAGGTGGTTTCTAACCATTAGAAAAATGGCATTTTAGAATGGTATTTTGAACAAAGCAATGGGGGCAAAGAGCCTAAGTTGCTTCTAAAGGGAGCTTGGTAAGATCATTAAAAGGGCAGCATGATAGAGTGGGATGTTCTTGAAGCAGAAATCAGAACATATGATATATAGATGAGAGGATTTGGAATCCCCATAAAAGAGCTGAAAAGATATTTTATCTCTGTATGGGGTGTCCTGGAACCTGCTGCTTCAGGGCTCCTGAATGTATCATTTGGCATGGCAGATATTTTTGTTCACGTGCTTCTGACGTATTGGGCATTGGCTGCAATTAGAGATGGAGGTCTGGCTGGGGGACACTGGTGCCACTAATGATACTCAGAAACCTCAGGTGACTGGCTAGTGGGTGTCACTTACACATTCGAGGCTCAGATTGATTGACAAAACTGAGATCAGAAAGGAATTCCCCTTTCCTCTCAGATCAGATTGGCAAGGATTGTTGGGATTTTTGGCCTTCCTCTATTGTACAAGACATAGCCTTCTTCCTAAGATCTAAGCATATTGTAACTCAAGGGCGGGCAATTATTTTGGGTGGAGGGCTGCTTAGTGAGTTTTGGCAAGCCATCAAGGGCCACATGACAGACAGCCAGGGCCAGACAAATATTAATTTTCTAGATTTTTAGGGGCCCCGTGGGCTGGATAGAATAGCCTGGCAGGCTGCATTTTGCCCACCCCTGTTGTAACTGCATAACTTTCTTTCTATGGCAATGGACAAGACATTGAGAACATTTTTCTTCCCTACTCTTTATCTATGGTACATTCTCTGTGGCCACAGGGGACAAGTCTAGGGACAAGCGACCTCAAGCAGCAGTAGAGAAAATTTAGGTTGGAGATTCGGATAAACTTCCTAGCTATGAGGGTGGTCAAGCATCAAAACAGGCTGCCTAGAAAAGTTGTGGAATCTCCATCACTGGAAGTTTAAATTTTCAAGAGCAGGTTGAAAAGACACTTGGCTGGGATAGTTTAGTCAGGGATGATCCTGCTTCAGCAGGGAGCTGGACCAGAAGACCTTATGAGGTCCCTTTTAGCTCAGCTTTCCCAGTAGGAAGCTTCTGCAACAAACAGTTCCTTGCAAACACAGAGTACTAGACTCAGTGGCCTGGGAGACCCTTTCTGCCTATGGTCAAGTGATCAAAACTATCTACTCTGGCCAGATTTTTTAAAAAATCTGAAAAAGCTATAAACAAGAGTGTTAAAATAACAAACTAATATAAATAATACCAAAATGGAAAAAATATAAACATATCATAAATGGAAACTTCATTTTGAAAAACACCTGAAAGAAGGAAGACATTACAGGACCTTACTAGGTGACTGCTACCATGGGAGTAGCAGCTAGATGTGGCATTATGTCATAAATCTGACTCTGTCATTGGCATATTGTGTAACCTGGGAGAAGTCATGTTTCCACCCCTGTGCCTTGGGGTGTTCCTCTGTTCCCCTGGGTCTGTACTTCTACATAAGATGGATGCCTTTCAGGACAGTATACCTTTCTGGAGCTTGGCTGGAGTTTCTCAGCACTACCAGAAATTACTGTGGTTAGTGAGAGGTGTGCACTGGTCAGGTACTTATTTTAAAACAGCCAATTCTCTCTCTCTCTCTCCTTGTAAATGCTGATCAGGACACTCCACAGAGGGGTTTTTTTCCAGGACACAATCACATACAGTTTTCCTGAGCTTGTAATATCTATGAGATTAGCTTGCTGGCATTATCTGGCATTCAGTGGGGCCACAATATCTAGAGCAGGCATACTCCAGCTCACAACCTAATGCCTTTCGGATGCCAGGAACTTTTCAGACTAAACTTACATTTTCCTTCCCCAGATAATTTCATCTCATTACTCTCTATTCTATTGTCTTGCATCTCCCATGACACTTCCTCTCCCAGTGTGTTCAACCCACTCTAATCTTGATAACCCCACCTACAACAAAGAGAATTTTTGATAAATTTCCCAAGCATTTTAAGGATCACATTTTGACACCACTAAGCACTTATATTTTCTCTGAATTAGGAAACATAAAGATTAGGTAAGTATTAGATAACCATGAACTCTACATTCCCCACCTCCACCCACCTGCTGACCTCAAATACCAATGCTAAGGTAAGAGATATCAATGTGTTACTTCACTGAGGAGGAAGGAGGGGGTAGAGAGGAAGAGGGAGAGAGAGAGAGAGAGGGGAAAAGAAAAAGGAAAAGGAAAACAAAAGGCCCAAAAGTAGCTTGGGGTTTAGCCAGCACATGTTTACTAATTGACCTGACCTTGATTTTTGCCCAATTCAAACAAATCCTCAGGCAAGTCTAGGATTAAATGTGCATTAAATAAAGCTTAAGGCCTGAAAGGGACCACTTAAATCATCTAGTCTGACCTCCTGCAAAGTCCAAGCCATTTTCTATCAAGTAGGTAACCTTGGAATTGAGCCAATGATTTGAGTGCAACTAACACCACTCTTCCAACATGGCATTCAGTCCTGATCTGAAGAAATTAAGAAATGGAAAATACAGCATTTTCCTTGGTAGTTTGTTCCAGTAGTTAATCACAGCCATTATGAAAAATGCCTATACTATTTCTAGTCCAAATATGTCTGGCTTCAGCATCTAGTCCTTGGCTTCTGTCACACCTTTCTCTGCCAGACTGAAGAGGTGAGGGCACAAAAAGACTGAAGAGTGCCCAATACGTTCTCCCCATGACAGTATTTACTCACTGTAATTAAGTCACCTCAACTTACTTTCCGCTAAAGAGCTCAGTCTTTTCAGTTTAAGTAGCTCATTGTAAGGCATTTTTCTTTCCTTCAAAATGTTTTATGGCTGTTTCCTGTATCCTCTCAATTTTTCGACATTCTTTTTAAAATGAGAACATTGGAACCAGATGTAGTATTTCAGTACAGACCTCACCAGTACTACACAGAGAGAAAAAAAAATCACCCTCCTTTTGATTCTCCTTTTACATCCAAAGATTGTATTAGCCCTTTTTCTCTAGGGCATCATACTCAGCGCTTAGGCATTGCTTGTCCACGCTGACCCCCAAAACACTTTCAGAGTCTCTGTTCCCAGGGTACTGTGTTCTCTATTCTGTAACCATGGCCTTTGAACATATATAGCCTCCAGTGAGTCTAAATCTAAGATTCTTGGTTTCCACAGGTTCTATTCTATAGATTACAGAATTATTACATTTACAACAGCTCACATAGGGTAACCAAAGACCTATAACTTGAATACCTTTATTAGAGACATCAAGATAAATGTTATAAAAGCAAACTGAAAGAGAGATAAGATACAGTGAGCAAGCCCTGTCCAATGATCCACTCAGATCTTAAGTGGACGCTCCAAGATTAGGTGACATCCAGTATAAAAGGCACCCAATATCACAAGCTGCATATGCAAATACTATGTCCATTTTTGCACTGCCTCACCCCAAATTCTAAGGTATGCACACCTGATAGGTTCTTGGCTTTTAAAACCCTCTATGAATTAATATTAACATCCTATCACAATGTTGACTTGTTGCTATGAAAAATGCAAAGCGTGGGGCCCCTGAGTTTCATACAAGAAATCTTTATATCAGCCACTTTGGAGTGTTTGCCTCAAGCTATAGAATCATAGAAAAGCAGGGCTGGAAAAGACCTCATCTAGTCCAACATCATCTAGTCCAACCCCCTACTCACCAGGCTGTTCCCAGCGAGGGGGTTGGGCTGGGCTGTGCTCGGGGCAGGTGGCGCTGGGAATTGGGGTTGGAGGGGCTACGGCGAAATGGAGTGGCTGGCAGCCCCTCCTGTAGCCCCCTCCCAGCACTGCTGCTACTGCCCACCCCGAGTGCAACCCAGCAGGAAGAGCCCTCATCAGGAAAAGCCCAGCAATGCCCTGGCCCCAGCCCACCCAGTGCACAGATTTGGGGGTACATGCCCCACTCATGCCCTCCCAGGGTGCGCACAGCTCAGTCCCGGGCTCCACCCAGCTATATAATGCCTGTCCCTGCCCCACTCCCTCCCTCACCATGCAGGCATATGGGGGCAGGGCTACGGGGGGAGGGGGCTGCAGCCATCTCAGAATTCACCATAGCAACCCCCACTTCCAATGCTGCCACCACCTACCCCAAGTGCAGCCAGGCCCAGCCCGTCAGGAAGAGCCCGCCCTGCCCAGATCCGGGGACCCTTATGCCCTCCTGGGGGTGCGTGTAGTGGTGGGAGCCACCACCCCCACTCCCCACCACAGCTCAATGCCACACCATGCCCCTGCCGGGCAGCCTCTGCCCCAGCCCCACTCCCACCCCCACCACTGGGGCAGCCCAGCTCACCTTGCCCTCTGTGCAGATCCAGGGGCACATGCCCTCCTAAGGTGTGTGCAGTGGCAGGAGCTGCGCCCCCCCTCCGGACAAGCTGCTCACAGCTTTCTCTGTCCTGCACCCTGATCTGCCCTGGCTGT